ATAGGGCTCCTCGGGATCGGCGTTGGGTTCCCTTGGCTGCGCCTCCGGCGCCGCCCCTGGCGCGCTCGGTCCAGAGCAGATCCAAGAAATCCGAGCGAACCTCGGAGAATTTGTGTTTATGCCGGGTGCTCTTCCTCTAGGCACGGCCACGTCTGACAAAATCGCGACGACGCAGGTTTTTTTCATGGGGCTTTCGCCCCCCAGGGGCTCTCGCCGGACCGCGGGGCCGTCCCAAGAGGGGGCTCGGGGCGGAGGGCCTGCCCTGGGGAAAGGGTCAGGGCTTCGGGGGGCCGTGCATGCCAAGAAACACCCCGCTTGCCTCCAGGGTGCCCTGGGTTTCTTGGGTCTCGAGGGTTGCGTGACGTTCCCGCGCCAAAAATCCCTACTGAGGGGGCCTACTTCTTGTGGAAGGTTTCTTGTGGTCGAGCCCCTACTGCAAACCAAGTTTTGCATGTCTGGGCACGGGGCCGTGAGGTCTGGGACGCTGAGCAAAACGGGCCCCAAGATCGGGGAGCGTTCGGGAACGCTCTCAGAGCGTGCGGGAGCGCTCCGAGGGAACCAGGGCGCCCGACATCCTCCAGAGCCGCCGGAGCTCAACGACTCCCGATCTGTCCCGATCCGATGCTGTCCCAGTCCTGGCCGCGCCTGGGCCCGAGGCATTGGCGGTGCAAAGGTGGGCCCCGTCCCTCGGGGCCCCCTCCCTGGAGTCGCCGGCAAGATCGCCGTCGGGACGCGTGGAGAGGCCGCGGCGGTCGGAGCCCAGCCGTGGGGCCCGCGCCCAGAGACGGCCCCTCCCGGAGGGCAGGGCCGAGCCCGAGCCACGGGTGCCTGTGGCATCGGGTCACGCGGCATCGCTCGGACGCGTGCATCTCTCGTCGGCGAGGACCATCGAGGAGCGTCCTAGATCCTCTGGCAACGGAGGCGCGCGCGAAACCGAGAGATGCACGGAGAATTGACGTCCGAGCGATGGCAAGGTCAAGGGCCAGGCTTCTTTGTGGGCAGTTGCAGTTTTCGCTTCCAGAGGATTGAGGAAGGAAGACCGGCCTGAACAAACTTTTTGACTGTCCGCACGGATGTCTTGGATCTGCGCTGGGGGCCCCCTGGCGGCGCCTCTAGCGCCGCCCCTGGCGCGAAATCCGCGCGGCCCGTCAAAAGTTTCTATGTATGCCGTTTTCAGTTCTTCTGTGAACATGATTGGTCAGATTCTGGCTTCGTTTCGTGATCCAGGCTTCCCAGACAGGGTACGAGGAGATGCGGTCGGAGGATCGATCTGCATCACCGATGCATGCATCGTTGATGCGGATCGATGTGGAGCCCGATTGTCTCCACACCAACGGCGCCGCGCATCGCCGACGTCGCCGATGCGTCGCCGATGCGTCGGTGATGCATCGACGATGCGGCGCGTTCCTCCGATCCCGTCTACTCCGATCTCATCCGGGAGGCCTGTCACACGTGCTTGCTAATGTACACCGCCGCTTGTTGTGCCGAACTCGGCTCACGATCTTTCGGTAGTTGTTTCACCCATGGTCTGTATCACATTCAGGGGTCAGGGCCCTGGTCATACGAGGAGCAACTTATGCATTCGCCATGCGTGCTCCACTGCGATGCCTCTGAGACATCGCACGTAGAAACAAGAGGTTCGTGTCATGTCGTGGCGATCCCAGCGCGTGCGTTCAAGGTTCTTCGCCGCTAGTGGCCTGGACTCGGACGACCTCGAATGATTCTGAAATTCGCAATCGTTCACGGCTGAACGATCCGTACGGTGTCAGAAACCAAAGCTGACGTCATCGCGACTTGACATTCCTTACCCAAATTCCGTGACAGTCGCAGCGTTGAGTTTGCCCGGTGAAACCCTCGGGAGGGAGGATGGTCTCGGGTCGGGCTTCGGGAGGAGATTGGAAAAGGGAGTGTACAACATCTACTGCATGCATCTTTCGGCCCCAACACATGGTCGTATCAAAGAAAGGGGTCCTGAGCCATGAAGAAAATTGGTCGGCCACGCGCAGAGGGGGTAGGGCAAGCTAGGTGCGCTCGCGTCATATCTGACGTCCTACCCCTCCCTCCCATCCCTTACCATGGCGCTGATTTTCTCTATCCGCGGACGCGTGTCGTAGCGGACCTGTGGCTCCGCGCGCGCGTGCGTAGTGGGTGGTGGTGCACGTGCGTGCGTGCGTGCGTGTGTGCGTGGTTGTCGTGGTGGTGGTGGTGGTGGTGCTGGTGCTGTGCGTGCTGGTGCTGGTGCTGGTGCTGGTGCTGGTGCTGGTGCTGGTGCTGGTGCTGGTGCTGGTGGTGGTGGGTGCTGGTGCTGGTGGTGGTGGTGGTGGTGGTGGTGGTGGTGGTGGTGGTGGTGGTGGCGGTGCGGCGCGGTGGTGGCGGGCGGATGGGCGCGCGAGAAAAAGGCCCGCGCTGGGGCGAGAACGCCATCCTGAACGACGGAGGCCAAACACCGATCCGAAAATGAGGCCCACGCTGCAGCGGGAGCACGATTCGGAACGATTCGGGAGCAGAAATGAGGCCGGCGCCTCAACGAGAGCAGCATTTGGGGAAAAAATGACGCCGGCGCCTCAGCGAGAGTCGTTTCCCGGGATTTCCCGGGCATCCTGTGTGTAAAAAAACAGTACGCGGAGGGTGCGCGGCCATCACCCGGACGCCATCAGGGGAAGAGGGAGGGTATTTTCATATTGAGTAATTGTGGAGGGGGGACGGCTTCTCAGAAACACCCCTGCTTCTTCGAAGGCGCGGGCCTTGTCTGTAGATGGTAAGGCCGGCGCCTTCCAAGAAGCTGCCCCCTTCTAAGAAGCCGTACCCCCTCCCCCTACCCCTTTCTTCGGGAAGACGTAAGACTCCAGTACGCCGCGACTCGGGTTTGCCAACGCTTTTTCACGAGCGCGTTCTCCATTTTGACGGTCCACTTTTCGTGAGATGTCGGCAGCAGGAGCTCGCGTCAAATTTCTGATTGGGTCTCGTCATTCTCGTGGTAGCCCCGTGAGACCGAACCCGAATCTTGCGTCTCCCCGACTTGTGCGCGCCGCCAAACTGGTCCAAGCCAGGGGAGGGAGGAAGGCTTCTCAGAAACACCATTGCTTCTTAGAAGGCCCCGGCCCTGTCTGTAGATGGTACGACGGGCGCCTTCTGAGATAAGAAGTTTCCTCCTAACAAGCATTCCTCCCCATACCCCTTGTGCTCGCCGCCCACCCTGGTCCTCAGCCCGGGGGGGCTTCCTCCCATGCCAGCTCTGCCTCCCGACCGAGCTGTGCTCTGACGGTCCCGGAGCCCGTGGAGGGCCCCGTCATCGGGAGCCTTGAGGCGGGGGTCAATGCAAACGGGGGTCAGCCAGAGTGCCCGATCCTGCAGGATCCTGCAGGGCCAGGGCCGCACTGACCCCGGTCTGGGTGCAGGATCCTGCAGGATCCTGCGCACTGACCCAGGTTTGGGTGCAGGACCTTGCAGGATCCTGCAAGGCCTGACTGACCCGGGTCTGGATTGACCCGGGTCAGAAGATCCCCGACGTCAGGCCCGAGAGCGGCAGATGGTTTTCCCGGGACCCGTACTGCACCTCTTCCCCTCCATCCTTGTGCCCCTACCCTACAGTCGGTCGTTTGAGAGTAAGTATTTTTGTCGGATCCTCAGGTCCCGGTCGACTCCAAGCGCCTTCCTGCTACAAGAATCGGCATGATTTTGCCGTGCTTTGCTATCATCTGGGAGGGCCCAGGCCCACTCTTCCGGCCGACGTGTACCTCTCCTCTTCATCCCTCCGCCTGTCCCGTCTCCCTCACCAACCCTCACTCGTTCCCTCCTCCCCCCTCCCCCGTTCCCTCCTCCCCCCGCCTCCGCGCCCCCTCCCGCCGCCACCGTTGTCGGCGTCGTCCCCTCCGCCACCATCGCCACTGCCGCCGCCGCCGCCGCCGTCACTGCCACCCCAGACGGGGTCAACGATAGGGGGATAGGCATACAGTCGGGGCGCTGAAGAAGGAACCCTTTTCGTTGGGGAGGGGCTCCGCGTTCCTTAAGTGTTTCGCAGCTTGCCTCAGGTTTTCCTTCTGGTCTTCGATGGGGGATCGAAGTTTAACTTATGGAAAAAAGGGGCCTCGTGCCTTATTTAGGGTTCCTTGGGTCAACGCCCCGACTGTAGGGGGGAACGCACCGACCCCCAGTGGCCCATTCATCGCCGACAGGGGCCCGCCAGCCCCCCGCCGCCCAGGAAGGTGCGGACTTGCGGGGGCCCACCGCCGATCTGTCGGCGATGCATCGCCGCTTCCGGGTCGAGGTTCCCGCTCCTGTGCCAGTCCCCCCCTGCCGTCCTGGCATCGCTCGGACGTGTGCATTTTCCCTTCGGCGAGGACCATCGAGGAGCATCCTTGATCATTGGGCGGAAAAGCCACGCACGAAACCGACAAAAAACACAGGGAATGGACGTCCGAGCGATGGCGAGCCGTTGCCCCTCAGACGCCCGATGGCTCGGGGCCACCACCGGCCGCGGCCCTCCTCCCAGAGACGGCTCTTCAAGCGGCCCCGTGGCCCGACGGTGGCCTCCGGAGGCCGCAGAGGGCGGGCAACCCCTGCCTCGGGTCTGCTCACGGCGCGGGAGGTCCGGGCCTCTGCCCACGGCAGGAGGCCTCTGGCGGCCGGCCAGCTCGAGGCTGGCACCCGCGGCACGCCCTCGGCGAGGCGCAGCTGCCGGAAGGCACCCCCAGGCCGGGCCTCCGGGAACCTCCGGGACGCGTCCCGCCTGAAAAGAAGGTGACGCCGCCGCCGCCGCCGCCGCCGTCGTTAGGGTTTGTGGAGGAGCTCGGGGGGAGGGGGGATGCCATGGCCGGGGCCAGGGGACCTCCCCGGCCGGACCCCACGGCCCCCTGCTCTCCTGTGCATGTGTCCTTCGGTCCCTCCCTCGTCCTCGATCGCACATGCCTCGGACCATGATCTGCCGCGCCCCCCTCGTGGGCTCCGCACTCCTCTGGACGTTCCCGAGCCGGCTCCGTCGTCGCCTCCGCCGCTGCGAGGTGCATCGCCGTGGACGGCGTGCTCCGGCGGGCGCTGCAGGAGCCGCCGGGCCCGCCCGCAGGGGGGGGGTCGAACGGCCGCCAGAGAGCCAAGTGATGGCGCGAAAACAAGAGGGCAACGATAAGGAGGGACAGGCTCAGCGGGGGATGCATCGACCCCCAACCGCCCACTGATCGACGACGTAATCCCGACGGTCCACCTCGCCCAAGAACGCTGGGTTCTGCCGATTTCAGCTCGACGTGTCCCCCCGAGGGCGGCAGCGACCAGGTACTGTAAATGAGGGTTCTTTTCCGGTGTCCGACGCACGCTCGACGTGGATTCGACCTGCATTTGGCGCGGACTCGTAGATTCAGCGTGGATTCGATGCGTATTCGACCCGGATAGCGACGCGATGGGGCAGACAAGGTCCCCGAAGATGCAGCATTGGAAACATCGGCCCCCCATCGCCCAATCATCGCCCACCGGGTCTGGATCTACCGCCGATCTGTCAGCGATCTGATCTATCGCCGACTCCAAGAGAGCGGTCCCGAGACGGCCGCGGCGCCCGGCACGTCCTCCAGACCGAGCGGCTCAGAGATTCTCGAGTATTGCGAGTCCGGCGGTGCAGTGGAAGCCCATGCCAAGACACACCCTGCTTGCCTCCAGGGTGCCCCGGGCTGCTTGGGTCTCGGGGTTTTCGCGATGGAAGGCGTGATTTGCCCCCCACACCACAGATCGGTGGACGTCCTCCTGGGGTCTCGGGGTTGGGTTTCTTGTGGTAGGTTCCTTGTGGTTGGGCCCCTAATGACTGCTTCCTCATCCTGCTTGTCGTCTCAGTCCAGGACCCACGAGGGTCGCGCAGTGCCGCAGGGGGTCGCCAGCAGGGGCGTCGCCGCCCTCCTCCCAGGCAGCCGGGGATCCGGGGAGGAGGGAGGCGGTGGTCTGCGTCAGGGAGAGCTGCTCCTCCGGGGGGGGGGGCGCGCGCGAGGGCGCGAAAGAGGGCTGCGCCCCGCGCCGTACGGTCGGACCGAGGTGTGAGATCGAGGTCGGCTCGGGAAGCGTGCCCTATGTGTTCTCCGTGCTTGGGCGGATGTCCTCGAGCGTGTTTCAGCTTGGCCGGCGGAGGGTCTCATGTTCTTTCAGGAGCGAAAGAAGGACGTACATGTACATGAGTCCACGCTGGTTTCGAGACCACGCATTGCACAAATGTTCGTATAACGCGGCCCGTCTCGCGAATCGAGGGGCCGTGTTCATGCACATAGCTGGGCGCGTACGTCCTTTGTGGGCTCCCTATTCTTGGAGGATGTTCTTCTGTCCTGGGTCCGACTGCACTCTACACACTGCCAGTGGCGGGCTGTTCTTCAATCCCAGGACTTGTTGAGGGTCGGGGACGACGTCGGGGTGGTGTGGTTAAGACGTGTTATCCGTTCCCCGGGGGAAACACGAAACATGTATACACCAGTGTCCCGCATACACCGGGATCCGCTTTCTTGTGCACATTTCACTGCAGGGCCCGAAAAAGTGTCGGTGTATGGAGTTCGGTTCCCTCCCCAGTATTTGTGAGACAGCGTCGCCAGGGCAGCCGTCTGTGTGCCCTGGCATCCTCGCGCCGTGGAAGCATCGTCACGAAGGTTTTTGAATACTTCTTCTACCTCTGGGGGCCCTCGCCGAGCCCCAGACCGTCAGCAGTACTATCCAGGATGAAACGCCTCGGCGGCGCACCGAGGGGGGAGGTTCTAGGCATCCCAGATGGGGTCCGAGCAGATGGGGTCGGAGGATCGCGCCGCATCGCCGATGCATCGCCGATGCGGCTCGATGTGGAGCCTGATTTGCTTCACACCGACGTCGCCGATGCATCGTCCACGTCGACGATGCATGGCCAGTGCATCGCCGATGCATCGCCGATGCGGCGCGATCCCCCGACCCCATCTAAGGCCTCCAGGAAGCGCGAGGGGGCGGGCCTGCTCAGGAGGCGGCGGGGCCTCTGAGAAGGCCTCCGGCCTTCCGACAGGCCCTTGGCGGCTTCGGAGACGGCTCAGGAAGGTTCTCCCGAGCCTTCCGAGCGGCTCGAGAAGTCCGGCTCGAGCCTTTCTCAGGAGTCGGAGGCGGCTCGAGAAGTCCGGAGGCCTTCCGAGCCTCCCGAGAAGGCCCCCCCCCCCTTTCCCTGGCCGCGCCGCCGGAGCAAGCCCGTCCGGGTCCGCGGGCAGGGGTCCAGATCTCTCTGGGGAGCCACGCCGCAACAGAAGGCACACACGGCGTCGGACGTCGGGGTGCGTGGCTCGGGATCTGCGCGGGTCGACAGCCGCAGCAGCGCCCAGCATGATGCCGATGGTGGAGCCAGCAGCCGTGGCGATGCCAGCGGCAAGGCTTGTAGTTGCCCCCGGGCAGGCTCACATTTACGGCAGGTTATCGGACAAGGAAGAGGTACCGAGACCCCTACCCTGCCTCGTTGTCACCTGGTTGAGCCTCATGGGAGGCCCTCGTCGCCATGGGTAGGTTCGCCTCGACAGACTGGTCAGAATGCACTCCGGGAGAGATCTGGGGAGTAGCGGTATCGGTATTTGTTTGTCCCCCCAGGTTACACCGGCAAATTCTTTGGGTGTGGGCCCAATGGAATATCTCAGCTTGACAGCATGAATGCCATTGACGTGAGGGATAGGCCCAATGTGCTGCCATACGTGACGGCGATGATCGGGATGGAAATCGAGATGGCGAACAAGACGCAAACCCAAGACGCATCAACGATGTTGCAATAAACCCTCCCGCCAAGTTCCTGTTTATAGGTCCCCACGACAGATCATCTTCATTGCGGGAAGTGCCCCTTTTCAAGATGACCGTTCGAGAATTTTCTATCTCGCCAGAAAACTATTCCTTGGATTTTTACGCCACGAGACGACCGGACTGTTGCGCCCTGAAGTTCCTAGGTCGTGCCAGCCCACCAGTCCTGGGATTTCAACCCTGCGAGTCCTCGACATTGCGTCAAACTTTCAAGACAAATGCGCGCGGCGCTAAGGCGAAGTCACATGTTGAAACGGAAACGCCCTCCATCCTTCGAAATTGCTGCAAGTGATTAAGAGTCATTTGCGCGGCGCCGAGACGACAGCCATAGGACCCGCGCTTCGTTTTTGATAATGCTGCAAATATTCGATGTGAATAATAGCTGCGCTGAAGCGAGAGCCACATTTTGGACAGGGCACGCCCGCGAAACGGCTGGCCCTGCCCGCCCTACCGTCACGTCTGAGGCTGCGACAGGGAGCAGTTATTTTCACGGATAAGGGATGGAGGAGTAGGTGGATGAGAGGCGAGGACGGGAAGGAAGGAGCTGGGAAGAGAGCGGATGATGATGATGTTGCTGCTGATGCTGCTGATGATGATGATGATGATGATGATGATGATGATGATGATGGTGATGATGATGGTGATGATGATCTGCTGCTGCTGCTGCTGCTGCCTCTGCTGCTGCTGCTGCTGCTGCTGAGGAGGAGGAGGAGGAGGAGGAGGAGGAGGAGGAGGAGGATAGGAGGAGGAGGAGGTGGAGGAGGAGGAGGAGGAGGAGGAAGAGGAGGAGGAGGAGGTGGAAGAGGAGGAGTAGCGGGCGGAGTGGGCGTCATGCGCCAGCACCCCCCCCTCGCCAGGGGGGCGGGGGGGCCCCAGCCGCCGCAGCCTCCCGGGGGGCAGGAGGCCCACGAGAGGGCGGAGCGCGCCTCAGCCAGCGCCGCCTCGGCGCTGCTCGAGGAGGAGGACGGGCGCAGGGGGGGGGTGGAAGTCGGGTTCGGGCTCATTCGGCGTCCAGGCAGGGGGGGGGGGGGGCGAGAGGGGGCGTGCCTTCTCAGAAGGCTGGGGCGGCCCCCCCGCCCCCCCCCCCGGGCCTGTGCGAAACTTTCCAGGCCTCCCCCGAAGACACAGAGAACTTCTCAGAAGGCCGGAGGGCTTCTGTTCTGAGAAGGCCTTCTCCTTCTCATGTCCCCCCCCTCGCCTGCCGCCTACTAATTGGTCCTTTGCGAAGGGGGTCTCGGAAATGTGCGCAGTACTTCGTGCAATCGCTAGTGCGGGATGCGCACGTCGTGCAATATCAGCCCGTGGCTGCCACGCGCCTGTCGCCACGAGATGAGCTGTTGAATTTGTTCTTGCGTCCCCATTACGAAAGACCCCCCTTTGCCCAGATCCGAGGAGGGCCCCCCAGGATCTGGAGAATGAGGGGCCCTCCGATTCTGAGGGCGAGTTTTGTTTGTTTTCTCTCAGGCTGTCGGTCGCTCCACAACAGCCCTCCCCCCCATGCCTTCTTTCTCCCTCCCTCCCTCCTCTCTTCCCCCCTACTCCTCCTCCCTTCTCCCTCCCTCCTGCTCTCTCCCTCATCCCTCCCTGTTTTTTTTCTCTCCTCATCCTGCTCCTCTTCCTCCCTACTCGAGAGTCCGAAGGGACCTGAGGAAACTCTACCATGTGGTGGCCTTCGGCCAATCCCGCCACCGCGCCCGTGTCAGGCGCCTGGCGTTTCGACTGCTTCGACGCATGGGGCCCCAGACCTCTCGACCCCCGGGGCCGGCCTTCCGTCCCAGGCCGTGACCATCCCCGACCTACAGCGTCGGCCTCCTGAGACCGAGGATGGAGAACAGCCGGCCGCCCCGATGTTGTTCGAGCCGCCAGATGTCTTGGTCCGCAGGGCGGCCGATTGCCCCGCTCGCAGTGGAGGGGGGGCTCCTCGTCTCACCTCCGCTCGGCATCGATAAAACCAAATCATCACCATCCCCATCGGGTAAGTCATGTCCCCGCCGGCCGACCCTTCCTCCCCTGGCGGGAACAGATACAGCTTCTGTCGGGTTCCGTGGAGCCTGTACCCAACTGGAGGCGGTATAGGCTGGTGGCGTCGAGGAGCCCTGGCCCACTGGGGATGGGGATCGGTCCGGCGATCCATGATCCGCCGCTGCGGGCGGGAGGGTCAGGAGCGCAGCAAAGACGTAGGCGCAGACGAAAGGACATGCATCGGCTTCGAGAGAGCCATGACATGCGCGATCGTTCGTGACATGGTCGGCCTTGCGAATTGGCGGGGGGGGCCTTTGCGT